TAAAACAACTCTATTTCATCACAGCAAGAAGTGAAGAAATCGGCCAACAACTAGGTAAAAACTAAACTTCACACATGCTATATAAGTGATTTCAACGGATGCCACAAGGTATAGGGATAAACGAAAACCGATGTGGCCGGAGAACATCTGACCAACTAATACTTAACATCTGGCATGCACCCGTGCCATGATTCTAAATAGCAAGGTCTTAACATTAACCAAGTGCAACACCAACCGAGGCCCCGTCAGCTCTGCCAAAGGGTGACAAAATTTCATACGCTATGACAATACAAGTGTTACATCTGGTATGATTCGCCGCCGATCACCGGCCGGTCGAAGTGATCCGAGTGAACAACAGTTGAAACCTAAATGTCTGTTTTGTCTCGAAAGACAAGAGTGGCACTCCGCTCCTTGATTACAGAGTAATATCTCGATACTCTCCGAAAAGCCAACATCACCCAGTAGTGCATCGACTGGATTAGATAACCCCAATAAATCCATTTCACTGCTATGCACGAATTTTCGAAGAGGAAGAGGAGTGCAGGAGTGCATAGATTGCAAAACTAGAAGATCGTACTCACCGGGCAATCGCCACGCGTCATTAGTTTGACACATTTGATGGAAAACAGATGTACGTAGTGGTCATGAGTATTCATCTGTACTGATCAGCCTTACCTTACCTTAGCCGTACCTTTGAGTAGCTTTACCTTTGATCCACTATACGATCTGGCACAAGAATCTACTTTGCAGTATTTTTTGGGTCATCAGGCGCCAATGGCACCACGTCTTACTGCGGACACTGCTGGTATCGGCTGTTTACAGATGGACGGACCAACAAGGACAGGATAATTAACAATGGACTTCCACAAGGCGCAATGCCTTCCAGACCGCTAATCAACATCTACACAAGAGACCTTCCGTCAGCAAAATCAATAAAGTTCTCATACATAAACGATGCCGCAATGGTCTTCCAGTCTCCTGATCTGATAACATCAAACAGGATGCTCTGCAGAGCCTGGCCACACCTGAGCGGGCCTTTCAAATATAAAAGCTATGCCAAAGATCAAGTGACGGTCCTTGACCAGAAATCTTGCCGAAATAGCATTCACTTCTAAGAGACACATGGAGACAATATTCCCCAATAAATAAGACAACCAACACAAAAAGTCTGTTAAATCGGATTCAGACTGGACAAGGCTGCTAGGGTAATCTACTTCACCGCTGAACGATAAGGCTTATGCGGCAACACGACTGCGGTCATGAAAGCCAAACCACAGAAAATTCATTCTAAACGCCCACTCA